CTAAGGTTCATTACCGTATTCACAAGAGCCCTCCACTGGTCCATATCCTGAGCCAGATCAACCGAATCCATCCCATTCCATCTCTAAGTAAAAAAGTAAAGTGAAGGTATCTCTGTAACAGGCCGTTGAGGCCCATAAGGTTGTGAGACGTCGAGGCTCCCACATTATCTAGACAATCGGCTCACAGATGGAGGTGAGGTTGTCAGCCTTACGCGCTGGGCGCGCTTTACTCCCCAGGAGAATTATTTAATGAATTCCTGGTACTCATTTCTGTTAGAGGCTGAGTCGACCCCAGGGCCATAGTGCGGCTGGAAAGATTAGGTCAACTGAAAAACCCCAAAGACCTCATCGGGATTAGAACCCGCGACCTTCCAGCTTGTAGCATAGCACCTCAACCAACTACGCTACCGCGTGCCCCCCATCTCTCTAAGATCCATTTTAATATTGTCCACCCACCTACGGCTTGGTCTTCCCAGTGGTCTGTTTCCATCTGGCTTTCTGACCGAATCCCCTCTTTTCTTTGCTAGTTTAAATATTATTCTAATGAGCTTGAAGGCCCAAGGAAGTAAAGTACAGCTTGATATTAAAAATGATATTACCTCTTGAATGATGCACAGTTCAAACCTTGCAGTTGTGGGTGTAATTGAGCCTCTTCTGGTCATTTCAAGTCCTTTATAGCAGTTTGAGGGATATTTGTGCCGGGGATGTTTAACAGTTGCCTTTTGGCGGTTTATTCACACTAGAGAACAAGTGGCAATCGAAAGCAGGCTTTCGGAGCATCTGTGCGTCTGAGAAAGCGTAGAGGCTCCACTGGTCCCAGGCCACAATAACTGGCGTTCTAGTTTCGAAACATCTGTTCAACGTAACGAATCGCGAAAACTACCCCCACAGCAACTGCGGAAGTAATGCAACAAATTGTTACATTTTCTTCCACTTACCCTTTTAACACAACATGTTTCGGCCCTAGTTGGCCATCTGCAGATGTATTAATATATTAAAACTGCTATACTGCATTAATATGCGCTAAATCATACGCTGTAGTCCACTTAATTTAATAAAATAAAAATAAAATCCATTAAAATTTTCTATTAAAATTTTCATTACTTTTGTGAAATCCTGTTCCACCTCACAAGGGGTGTCGTCCACTTTTATGAAATTAAGTGGGCCACAGAGTGTGATTTAGCGCATATTAATGCAGTGTAGAAGTTTTAATATATGAATACATCTGCAGCTGGCCAACTAGGGCCGAAACATGTTGTGTTAAAAGTGTAAGTGGAAGAAAAAGTAACAATTTGTTGCATTATTGACGGACTGTGTTATACATGGACGTTTTAATATGGCTTGCAAAAGGATGCTTAAATACAGAATTACGGAAGTAATCTCTGACTTACATAGCTACGTTTTACTGCTACACACAAGTTCACGTTCTTTGAATTCTTCGCATTTTCGCAACAAAATCTGGCAATATTTTAGGTTAGGTTGTGATGTTCTGGGTTGTTTGTGGGCTTTACTGACTGTAATCCTTGGAATGAGCGTGTACAGCTGAGCAAGTTCCTAAACCCTGAAGACAGTTGCAGCATTCTCCTCCGAAAGGACAGTAGTCGCCTTTAAGGTTACAGTTAATATGGCGCACAGGTTGGGTGCAGCTGTAATGCTCCTGATTTACATTCGAAATATTTTTAGTTCGAATCTCGCACGGGGCAACAGATATCCTGATTAAGATTTGTCGTGTTTTTCCTCAGTCCCTCGAGGTAAATTCCGGGATAGTATCTCTCTCATTAGGCCACGACAACTTGCTTCCAAACACTTTCCAATTCATTATTCGGTTATCACTCTAATATTGGTATCTGATCAGAGATAATGCAGTTGTGTTTACAGACGTCACAACACACAAGACCCCAACCTGAATAATCGCTCCCACGTGGTGACTTTGAAACTTACGTACTTCAATTCAGTTACATCGATTAAGTTGTTGGATTGAACCGAACTGAATTCACGTTGAATTAGATGTTACTTGACGACAGCCAGGCTGAGTGCGCAAACTTTGCACTTCAGTTCCCGTTGTATTGTCAAAGTTGGCAGTACTGCGAACTTTCATATCAACTATTGAATTTAGACTGTCACTTGTCTTATCTCTCCTACTTCACCGCCTCCTGGTGGCATTTCCTGCAGGTGTAACGTAGTGTGTGCCTTAGGTTCATGTCCTGGAGGCTAAGGAAAAGTGGCTGGCTTTTGTGAACACAGAGATGAACTATCAGGTTACAGTGTAGTTCACACCACTACAGAAATAAGAAATAATATTGAGGAACTTGATACGCAACAGAGGAAAATGTAATATTTACAGGAAGACCAAGAGCAGTATCCTAGGAATATTGAATGACGGGGAACCAAAGATAATCTTCAGACCATACGTAATATATATGTCGAAGAGTGCGGATTTCTGGGTTATAATAAGGGTAATCGGGAGGGAGGCTGATGTTTCGGAGGAACATATTACCTCAGTCTTCAAGGCGGAACACTAAGCCGAGTAAAAAGCAAGCAGAAACGCCTGGCAAGGTTTCCATTATGATCTTGTGAACGGTATACAGGAAACACGGAGGAAAGCAATCCATGAACACGAATAAAGCAATTTCAGTTACAAATGTATGTGTATGAATTCTTGTGTGAGCACGTAACTCTTAAGGAACGTTTCGATTTCAAGTTTTGATCAGATGTCTGGAGAACAGTATGCAGAAACACGAGAAGGTCTTTCATTGACATTATTTTCTTCTGTGTATTAAGGATGTTTTCGAGCTGGGATAGCTAAGACGATATAGCGACTGACTATAGGCTGGACGACCGAGGGATCGGACTTCGATTCGGAGTTTTCTCTACAACGTCCAGATCGGCTCTGGGGCCCACCCAACCTCCTATCCAATTGGTACCGGGAACTCTTTCGCCGGGGGGTAAAGCGGCCGGGTCGTGAAGCTGACCACTCACCTCTAACTAGTGTCGAGTTCAAGAAAAATGTGGATCTATACATCCATTCCTCCATATTCCTTCATGGCGTAGTGCTTAATTAGCTAAGTACAGGTTTTCCGTGGGTACTGCCTTGGTACCTTGAAGGAGCTCTTCTCCGAACCGTCCATAAGATCGCTTAAGGCACTGCAACTCTTAGTGCATCCCGCCCAGTCTCTGTTCTCTCTGGCTGCAAAAGGTTAACTTGTTGCAATAGAGTTCGTTTAAGGGTGGAAGTATCTACCGTCAAAATTCAGTGGTCTGCTTAATATAGTAGAACAATAGCTACTTGTTACTTCTTCACTCAGACGTTTTGCAGTTTCAGCCTAAATAAACTTTAGACTTAAGTCCTCTAAGTGTTAATGTACGTCATACTTTGTGTAGGCAAACTTGCGGAAGCCAAGTCATGTGAAAGTTTTGTATAAATTTCCCACCTTCGTATGAATACCGGAAGTATGTTACTTCGCAATTACGTGGCAACGTTGAGTTTAACTTACTGACAATAACCGGAAGTAGCGTACTTGGGTGAGGCACTATGCTACACCCCGGAAGGTCGCTGGTTCGATTCCCGATGAGTTCATTGGATTTTTCAATTGACCTACTCCTTCCAGCCGCACTATGGCTTGGGGTCGACTCAGCCTCTAACAGAAATGAGTACCAGGAATCTTCCTGGGGGTATAGTGCGGCCAGCGCGTAAGGCTGAATCCTCACCGTCATCTGTGAGTCGGTTGTCTATAAAATATGGGAGCCTCGACATCTCACAACCCTCTGGGCCTTCACGGCCTCTTACAGGGATAGCTTGGGGCGTAAGGCTGACAACCTCACCGCCATCTGTGAGCCGATTGTCTAGAAAATGTGGGAGCCTTGACGTCTCACAACCCGATTGGCCCCCATGGCCCATAGCACCTCCTATAGCAGATGGCATATACCACGATGATATGCAATTTTGATCAACGCACCTTTGCTGTGATTGGCTAGATATATGTTAAGTGAATCTAATTAAAAGGACGTAAAATTATCCCTGTGCTCAGTTAATCATCACACCAAGAAGACGCATGGTGACGCGGAGGTGCAGCGCCATACATTCCTAACCTAAGCACTAGAGAAGGGATGAGTGATCAATTTCACTCCCCGGCTGCTGTATCACCAACGCCCATTGGTTAGGGGGCTCCGCGGACCCCAGAAGCGGTCTGATCACTGTGGACAAGAAAAATCTGTTGCCTCAGTTGGGAATCGAACCCCTATTCTTGGGTCCACCAGCCCTTGAGGTAGACTAGCGCCTTCAAGATCCAAATTAACTCATGTACTTGAATGCGAAACGAAGTTCCACCAAGGATTATTGTGGTGTGGCTGAGATGACCTCTCGCATCAGCGCCCAGGCTCGAGACAGCATTGGCAGTCACGTGTTGCCAGGGCACGTTGCCGGTAGCATATTTTGTGATTACCTACTTACCTACCACTCGGCGCTACAGCCCTGGGTGAGCCTTGGCCTCCTCTACAACCAGTCTCCACAACCAGTGCGTGCTGGCATAGGAAGGGACCCACGGATGATGACCCGTGGCTGGTTGTTAGGTTTCTGAACAAAATTCTGTTTACAGGATGAGGTTGTTAGCCTCATGCGCAGCCCGCAACCAGGGTATCTCCCTTAGTCTGAACTCTAACCTTTGACTTTTCCGGCATGGGTGACTCTACCGGTAGTTAAACTACCGCTGGCATAGCTCTCCAGGTCACAGAGTCACGCAAGCCCCACCACCACGACAAGATGGAGACACATTTGGGGGGTTATTTTGCGGTTATTATGCCTCAAAACATGCCGGTATATACTCTGAAATCTGTAAGCCTGTGATTTGCGCTTTTTGACGTTTGGGGTAGGAATAAATATAGGACTACACTGCTACATTCTTCTGCTACGATTGGGACATATCACATCACATGCAGGCGGTTGCATTATACATGTTCGTGTTTTATTTGGGACTGTACACCATATTTGCTTATGCCTGCAGGTGTAAATGAAGACGAACGGTCGCCCAATGGAGACGTGGCAACAGCATACACAAAATCAACAATTCATCCCCAGGCGCGGGTTATATAGCTCACAGGCGCCCACAGGACGTCCTTTGGGTAGAAGAAAGGTTCTTCTCACAAAGATATTTCAGGTACAGTCATGCTTCGGGCTTATGACTTCATGCGGAAGCGAAAATTGGTCTTAAGTCGAGTTCATTAAACATTCATTCTCATTCCTGCAGCTCAAAGCTCAGATATATTTTTAATTTTTTTAAATTCTCTTATGCCATAATAATATTATTTATATTATAAAATTAATAAAAGGACTTAAAATAAGATAGTAATAAATGTTTAAAATATTAAAAATCTAAACAA